ATAACCTAATGAACTTGGTCCTTGATGATTAGTGACTTTAGAAAGGAAAAATTGTTCTAACCTTATTGATGTTGAGCTAAGTTGAAACAAGGCCTACGCTTATGAAAAGCACTGAGTTTGTCATCATCAAAAAAGGGGAATTTGTTGGCCTAAGTGAAGTTTGTTTTGAATATTGACAAAGGAACTTAAGAATGAACCATGTCCATCCACAGTGTACACATACACGGGCAGACTCAAGTACAAGGGATGCACGTGATGGAGATAAGCTTAAGTGGTTATATCTGATATCTCCTGATCAAAAAGGTTGCATAATTGATAAGGAGAAGGACTCCTTACGCGAAGAGAACACTATCCAAGATAAGGGAGGAGTTAGAAGTTGAGGATAACTAGAACTCTTCCACCAAGCAAGAGTATAGCATTGGGAATCTAGTTATTTCCTATTCTACTAACTCTATAAATTGCAAGATGTTCTCACATTACAGATACACACAAAAGCTGAAATTAAACATGAGTTGAGAGCAAAATAGCAAGGCATTTGCAAGCAATTCTTGTGTGATTCAAATGTGCGAACCTGAAGCTACATGAACCAGATAGAAGAACTAGTTCCAAGTGTCTGTCTTTTATTCTAGTTCAATTCTAGTAGGTATTTTCAAATTGTACCTTTCAGCTTTATCTAGAAGCAATTGTATTAGGTACTGTGAGTATTCAAGTTAGAGTTAACTTGAAGTTGTTGCAACAGTTAGAGGTTGGTTGCCACAACGGGATTAGAGGTAATTCTTAGGTTCACAAAGAGTTTTTGTAAATGCCATTTTGGTTCGGTGATTTAGTGAAACGTTGGGAAAAATCCTACTGAGTAGTAGGTCGTGATTTTTTCACCTTTTGAGCGGGTGTTTACCACGTAAAAATATTTGTGCTCTCTACTTTCCGCATTTATTATTTCTGCAATAGTCATTTAAGGAACACATAGAAGAGCCAGGTCCTTCTATAATCCGTGCACACGAAAATTGGACACCACACATATCACCCCCCTCTTGTGTGGCATTGAAGTAAAAACATCAAAAGGTTTCAAATAAAATCCCTAGGTTTTTCGGATTATACGATGTTAATGTCCTCACTTGTATGTTTTAATCTTACTATTTGGCATTTACACGTGTGAGCATCACACCCATCAGAAAAGTTGATCAAGAGCCGTTGATTTATATATACAGGAAATAAGTAAGAAGCTTCTTACACGTGAATTGCACATGTTTATATATAGTAGGGAATAAAAGAATCTATGTTAGTTACACATAGGGATTGGTAATTATACAGATGGATAGAGTAGATTTATTTCTGCATTTTCTCTTTACATCAATTTTACATGTATAAGTAGGTTGTACACAATGAATGAAATATATAGAGAAAACTTCTGCATCATCTATCTCTCATTCTTTCATGGTATCGGAGCAATTCTCTACTCGATCCTTGAATTTCATAATCTAATCTTTCTCTTTTCTCTTGCTTAGTTAATCTACAATCATGATTGGAACATATTCTGCACCTACTCTTTCTCTTTCTGGTTCAACCAGTCAAGTTGTGAATCATGATGTCAACCATCCTTACTTTCTTCACTCGTCAAATGCACCTGGGATGACTCTTGTCACCTCACCCTTTGATGGAAGAGGATTTCTAGGCTGGAGAAGATCCATTCTGATTGCACTGTCAGCTAAAAATAAATTGGAGTTCATCAATGGGGTTTGTGATGAGCCTACTTTGGGTTCAAATGATCATGCACAATGGAGTAGGTGCAATGACATGGTCACCTCGTGGCTGCTCAACTCTCTAACTAAGGAAATAGGAGACAATGCCATTTATTCCAAGTCTGCAAAAGAGCTTTGGAATAGTCTTGAGCATATGTTTGGACAATCCAATTGAGCCAAACTCTATCATCTGCAAAAGTAAATAGCCAAAATAGTTCAGGTAAATAGCAGTTATGCAGGTTATTTTACAACTTTGAAGAGGCTGTGGGATGAGTTAGATTCATTGAACTCGTATCTGGGATGCACCTGTACTTATGTGTGTGAAGGGAAGAAGAAGGTGGCCAAGTTTCTAGAGGATCAAAGAGTCATTCAATTACTTATGTGATTGAATGATGTGTATGCACATGCAAGAGGAAACATCCATGATGAGCCCACTTCCAAGCATGGATCATGCCTACTCTTTCCTTCTGCAAGATGAAAGTCAAAGGGAAATATATGTTAGCCCACAATATCCATTAGATGGGACATCTTTCATGGTAGGAACTCCAGGGAAGTTCAATCAGAGAAACAACAATCACAAGATCTGGGGAACTCCTCTGAAACAGGGAAACAATTAGCATATGCAACAAAAATTTAAGAAGAAGACAAAGTACAATCCCAATGTGAGTTGTACTCACCGTATGAGAACAAGGCATGTCAGGGCAGATTGCTACAAACTAATTAGTTTTCCTAATGATTTTCAATTTACAAGATTAACAAATTATCAACCTCCAATAAAAGGGAATGCAGTGGTGGAAGGACAGGAAAATGAGGAGAAACCCAATGCTTGCATTGAAGTAAACATGAGCAATCATAACCAATTTTTCAGTAAGGAGCGGGTGTCTGAATTGGTGAACATCATCAAAAAAGTGCAGATTGGAAATGCATGGAACACAACTTCAGAAATAAATGCAAATGTTGTGGATGGTACCATTCTCAAATACACAAGAACTTGTCTTGCTGTTTTTAACACTAACACATGGATTATTGACTCAGGGGCTTCTGAACATATGTGTTTTGGTGCTAGTTCCTTCATAAATTTGACCCCTCTACCTGTACCTTTGGATATTATTTACCTAATTCATTTCAGTTATCTGTTACACAAGTAACACAGAGGTAGTGTGTCTATTCAACCTGATATGATTCTTCATAGAGTGCTTCATGTCCCTTCTTTCAAGTATAACTTATTATCTATTCATAAGTTATGTGTTCAATTCGGTTGCACTTTAAACCTAACCTCTAGTGGTTGTCTATTGCAGGTCCCTTTAATGAGGAGAGGACAAGTTTTTCGTGAAGCTAGAGATAGATTGTACCTGTTCCAGCCACCTAGAATAGAGTATGTTTCTTCATTTAGACAAAATGTAGTTTCTATTCCAAAAGGGAGAAATTCCACTGTTGTTTCTATTTCTGTTTCTTTTCCAGTACCTATAGTTGCTAATGCTACATCTAATGTAAGCCAATGGCATATCATACTAGGGCATTTGCCCTTTTCAGTAATGAAAAATCTGAGTTTCATTGACTTTCCTTCCAGCTTTGACTATGTATGTAATGTTTGTCCTCAAGCTAGGCAGACCAGACAACCTTATCCTTTAAGTCAAATTAAGAGTTTTGCTATCTTTGATTTAATTCACATTGACACTGGGGGACCATTCAAGACTATCACTTACAATGGATACAAATATTTCTTAACTATTTTAGATGACTATAATAGGGCAAATTGGACTTTTCTTTTTAGTACTACGAGCAATGTCTTTTCAGTCTTGAAATCATTTTTATGTATGGTAGACAGACAATTTAACTTGAAAGTGAAGAAAATCATATATGATAATGCCATGGAAGTAGGAACAGGATCACAAGAGGCAAGTTTTCTTGACTCTCAAGGATAATACATAAGACATCTTGTGTTGTAACCCCTCAACAGAAGAGTAGTCGAGAGGAAACATAGACATCTTTTAGAAGTGGCAAGAGCAGTATTCTTTCACTCTAAAGTGACTCTTCCATACTGGGGAGAATGTGTGTTGACAACAACCTATTTAATCAACAGAATACCTTCTAAGGCTCTGAAGGGTCTAACACCATATGAGGTTCTGCTTGGTAAATAGCCCAACTATGATTCACTCAAGAGTTTTGGATGCATGTGTTATGCATTAACTTTGTCTCACAACAGGGGTAGGTTTGAGCCTAGAGCAAAGGGTGTGCGTTCCTAGGGTATGCCCGAAATCAGAAAGGATACAAAGTTTGTCAGGTTTCATGAACATCACTTCCATTTTGCTCACACACCTTTGACACCTGATTTTCCCTTATTCCTATCAATTATAATTCCATCAGACACTTTCCCTCATGCCCCGGTAGAATCCTCTTCTAGACCTATCTCACCATCATCATTTCCCATATTATCTGTAACTCAGCCTTCCTCTTCATCACCCAGCAGCACATCTAAGTATCCTACTTCCCCTACTCCAACCAATATCACTCTTACACCCTCTAAATCTACTCTTGTTTCATATCCTTCTTACTCATCTACTAGGACATTTTTTCCCTCATCAATCACTACCAGAATATCTATCCAGTTCATCCTCCCCCAGTGAGAACGTCTGACAGGGCAACTCAGAAACCACCTTACTTAGATGACTGCATCTGCAATAGCATTTTCCTATCTGACCTCAGTTCCTATCTATCTAAGCCTCTCAAGCCTACTGCCTTCTCCTTTGGAGCACTTTTTATGAATAATTAGCATATTCTCACTTCTATTTCTGAACCTACCAGTTATCTACAGGCTTCTACACATCCTGGGTGGAAGAAGGCCATGGATGCTGAAATTTCAGCACTTGAACTAAACCACACTTGGGATGTTGTACCCCTACCACAAGGAAAGAGAGCTTTACCCTGTAAGTGGGTGTATAAGGTCAAACACAACTCAGATGGTACAATTGAAAGTCTAAAGGCTAGATTGGTGATAACGGGGGACATACAAAGGGAAGGGATAGATTATTCAGAAACCTTTTCACCTGTGGTGAAAATGACAACCATCATGTGTCTCTTGGTTGTAGCTGTTAAAAAGCACTAGAGAGTATCTCAATTGGATGTCAATAATGTCGTATTTCATGGGGACTTGCAAGAAGAAGTCTATATGAAGTTCCCTGCAGGTCTATCTCCTCCTAAACCTAACTATGTTTGTCTCTTAAGGAAGTCACTCTATGGTCTAAAGCAAGCATCAAGGCAATGTATGCTAGGTTAGCTAGGGCTCTAAACTACAAAGGTTATTCCAGTTCTCTCAATGATTATTCCATATTCTACAAGCAATCAGGTGATCTCATTTCTATCTTAGCTGTTTACGTTGATGACATACTACTCATAGGCAATGATGCAACAGAAATTGCGTATATCACAGCCTTTCTAAACACATAATTCAAAGTTAAACATCTTGGAGACATTCATCATTTTTAGGAATAGAAATACTTAGAGAAAAGCAAGGATTTATCATAGGACAAAGGCAATTTACCTTGGATCTTTTGACATAATTTGATTGCACATGTCCGGCAGTGTCTTCACCACTCGATCCATACTCCAATTATGAGCTGATGTAGGAGAACCTTTGTGCGATCCTACTATTTATCGTCATCTTGTTGGAAAGCTCAACTATTTGACTAATACCATGTCGAGTCTATACTTTTTAGTCCTTTGTTTAAGTCAGTACATGCAACGACCTTGTATTTCGCATTGCTCAGCAGCTCTGCGTGTTCTCAGATATCTGCGCACTGATCCTTCTCAAGGAATTTTCCTCTCCACATATCCCTCTTTTGATTTACTCGCCTTTTGTGACGCCGACTGGGCGGCTTGTAGAGATTCTCGTCGTTCTGTGAGTGGTTTTTTCATCATGTTTAGTGGAGCTTCGATCTCATGGAAATTCAAGAAGCAGATTTTCATTTCCCTCTCCTCTACTAAAGCAGAGTACAGGTCGATGCGGTGAGTAACTACTGAAGTTACTTGGTTGGTTCACCTTCTCTCTTACCTCTCTGTCACTCCGGCTTTGCCGGTTCCCATTCACTCCGACAGTTAGGCACCGATTCACATCACCTGGAGTCCCGTCTTCCACGAGCGTACCAAGCACGTGGAGCTCGATTGTCATTTTGTCAGGCAACAATTCCTCTCCAGTTTAATTACCCTCTCTTTTGTTCCATCGGAGCAACAACTCACCGATCTCTTCACCAAGCCTATTTCTGGGGCTTCTCACAAAACTATTTTAAACAAGTTGGGGCCCTTTCCCTCCCCTCCAACTTGAGGGGGGGTGATGAGAAGAACAATCCCCATATAATTTAGCAAAAGAAGATTTATTTGTTGATGAAGAATTAAAGAAGGGTTTAGACAAAATCCCTAGGTTTTTCGGATTATACGATGTGAATGTCCTCACTTGTATGTTTTAATCTTACTATTTGGCATTGACACGTGAGAGCATCATAGCCATCAGAAAAGTTGATCAAGAGTCGTTGATTTGAATATACAGGAAATAAGTAGGAAACTTCCTACACGTGAATTAGACATGTTTATACATAGTAGGAAATAAAAGAATCTAAGTTAGTTACACATAGGGATTGGTAATTGTACACATGGCTAGAGTAGATTAATTTTTGCATTTTCTCTTTACATCAATTTTACATGTATAAATAGGATGTACACAATGAATGAAATATACAGAGAAAACTTCTGCATCATCTATCTCTCATTCTTTCACATTTAGAGTTTGTTTGATTTACAAATATAAAAAGATATATATGAAACAAGAGAGTGTTTTTCATAAAATACTTTTACACTAATGAATAAGGAACGCTCGTCGAATGCAGTATTAGTTTTGAGTAGTTAATATATTTTGCGTATTTATCTTTGTTCTATTTGAGTTTTTCGTTGCTTGTATAATATATATGATGAGTGACGTATTAATTGGATGAATGGGATGAACTTTATGAAAAATAATTGAGGTCAAAATAATTTAAGGGATTTTTACCTTCCTATACACTATTTGAAATTTTATTAACCTCCCTACTCAAGTTTTAATTCAATTACATGGTCATATACAATTTACCGGCAATATACAAATAAGTATCCCTTTATATTAGGAATTGAATAAGGCATATCAATTATTTCCTTATCTCTTTATATTTGCCCACTCCCTCTCTCTCTCTCTCTCTCTCTCTCTCTCTCTCTCTCTCTCTCTCTCTCTCTCTCTCTCTCTCTCTCTCTCTCTGTTTTCCCCCCAATATTTCTTCATTTGATGTTCTCTGTTTTTTATGCTTTCTTGTTATATAGAATTTTAATGGAATTCATCAATGGGTTTCAATCGTTTTAACTTAGCAATTTCCTTTCATGTTGCACAATTGATGTTCAAATTGAAATTGTATCAGTAAATTTTGAAGGTGTTTGACTCTCCACCATTGAGCCATTAAAAAACTTTGAAGCTTTGAAATCGAATTTGGATTTTCAAAAGTCATTACTTGTTTGGATTGGGTGTTGTTGCAAACAATTGTAAATATTGTTTGGAGTTTATATCTGAATTTTGAGGGTTTTTGTTGAAGATTAGACTTGATTTTGGCTGACTTTCAGATTGAAACTTGAAGAAGAAGAAGAAGAACACATGACATACAATATACTTACGAAATTGTAGTAAAATTGTATGTAAATTGTATTATATTGTAGTTATATGTATTTTTTATTTGAATGTTGTATGAAAGGTGAAAAATAGTTGTATAATGTACGAATTGTTGTATAAAATTTGTATTTAAATTATCAATACTATATAAAGTTGTTGATATGTATCAAATTTGTATTAAGAGGGTAAGTTTTGATTGGAGTTTTAGAGAGGAAGAAGCACACACCACATACAAAATATATACAAATCAGATACAAAATACATATTGCATAAATTTATATGATACTGTATTTAAGTTATATGATATTGTAGTTGTATTTAACTGGGTAAAAATAATGTATGAAAGTTGTAGATAAGTTGTATAATATATAATTATTTGTATAAAAATTATTTTTATTATGTATGTTGTTGTAGATATTAAAAGGAGACAGCTTGATTTTAAAAAAAGTCCGCCAAAACATAAAACCTACGAGCAGAGGTTGCTTCTATGGCGTCGCATCTGCGTCAACAAAGGACTGCAATTGACAAAAGGATTGTCAAGGTTTCTGAACTAGGTGTTCCTATATGAGGAGATTGCCAATTTGGAGAAAAATGCTTTAAGTTCGTCTGCACCGATTGTGGTTACCTTATAACATTTCAGATGAGTACTAAGGAGGGCTATATCATATCGATGAACAGTTCATCTGCCCCTCCCCCATAAGGTGTAACATATATTCACACCTATTCCATTATTAAATGCACCAGCAAAATAAAGAAAAAAAATATCACGACCCAAAATCCACTAGTCGTGATGACACCTAACCCAACCCGCTAGGTAAGCCAACTAATATCTATACAGTTTCAATGATATTTAACAGGACAATTAATCAAAGAAATTATTTAAATCTTATACATTCCCAAGAGTTGGTAGTACAAATCATCAGCTTCTAAGGATACAGTTTACAAAGCTGATATGAAGTAAATACATCTTCTGTTTGAAAAGTACATAAACAGAGTTTTACAAAATCGAAGGCTACCATGAACAAGAGGCAACTGAGTCTGGATCGCAGGTGCACCTTCAATGCTAGCTCCCGCCATGTACAGTAACATCGGCATACGAAATCTGCACGCAATGTGCAGGAAGTGTAATATGAGTATAACCGACCCCATGTACTCAATAAGTAACAAACCTAACCTTAGGTTGAAAGTAGTGACGAGCTGGAACATAGGTCGGGTCCAACACCAATAACTAACAGTAGTTCATAATAATGTAGCGCAAGTAAATAAAGAAGTAGCTCAGAGATAACATGCTCAACATTTTCATAATTTTCCGAAAAACAATTTCACTTTTCAAGTATATCAGTGAAACCCAAATCCTTTACCGAAAATTTTAAAAAATATGAGATAGTTTGAAAACTGTAATTTTTTGCAAAAATCCTTTCTACAACAAATAAGATGTTTCATTTCTTCTTTCCAGATAACAAGTGTGAAATACCTCACTATGCCCACATATCAATATGTGTGAAAAGTCATGAACAACGTAATACCGTATAGCATGAGGAAAATGCATTTATATGCCTGTATGTCATGTGTGCAAGTCAATGCCATGTATCTCAGAGATGAATCATGTACTCACACTCTCAAAGTACTCAACCTCACTGTCTCGCATTTTCTCTTACCATACTCAATACTCAGCACACTCAGTCACTCAGGACTGTACAATATTCGTTGCGGCGTGCAACCCGATCCACATACATATACATAGTCGATTGCGCTCACTAGAGGTGTGTAGACTAAGGAGGGGCTCCTTCAGCCCAAGCGCTATAATCCGCACGGACAACTCATGTGTTGCACGGACAACTCACGTGCTATAATATCAAATCAAGATCTGCACGGACAACTCACATGCCATAGTATCAATATCATGATCTGCACAGACAACTTACGTGCCATAGTAACAGTATCTTAAATCAGGCCATCGGCCTCACTCAGTCATCAATCTCTCTAGTCTCTCTCTCTCGGGCTCACAATGTCATGAAACTAGCCCAAAAATGACGATATGAGGTATCAGTAAATAACAACAAAGACTAAGATATGATATGCATATGAATGCGTATCAACAAAATAAGGCCACTATTCAGTGCCCTGGAAATGACGGAATCACAATTCACTGGGTGCATGCCCACACGCCCGTCACCTAACATGTGCGTCACCTTAACATCAATCACATAACACGTAAATCGGGGTTTCATACCCTCAGCACTAAGTATAGAAGAGTTAATTATCTCAAACAAGCCAATTCTGAACGCCGAACAAGCCAAGCGATGCTCCAAGAGTGCCATCTCACGCGTAGCGACCTCCGAATGGCTCAAAACTAGCCAAAAGACAACTCAAATACATCAAACAATACTAAAGGAACCAATCCCAATCGAAAAAGATCGAATCTTTAGTCAAAAGCCCAAAATTGTTCAAAAAGCCCAACCCGTGCCCGCACCTCGTAATCCGACAAAATTTACAAAATTCGATAACCCATTCAATTACGAGTCCAACCGTACTAGTTTCACTCAAATTCAACTCCAAATTGGTGTTCAAAACTCAAAAATTCACTTTATGAAATTTTAGACAAAACTCCCAAATTTTACTTTGAAATCATCAATCAAATGCCAAAAACGAAGATGGATTCATGAAATATAACCAAAATCGAGTATAGAACACTTACCCCAATTTATATGGTGAAATCATCTCCAAAAACTGTCCAAATCCGAGTTCCCCAACTCAAAATATGACGAAATGAACAAACCTTCCATATTAAGTAATTTTGCCCAGCTGTTCTGCCTCGTTTTGTGTGCCAAACGATCCCAAAACTTACTTTTGATGCCTCCAATAGATTTCTTGTGAAATTTCAGTCAAGATAGGCTTTTGAATCACTCCATTTGACCTTATAATGAAGAAGATATGTTGGTTTCAATATTTGGAAATAGTGCAGATTTTTAAATACGAAGTCAATGGCAATTTCGTAATTAATCTGAAAAATCTAGCAACCTAATTCTTAGTAAAATGACCATAAAATCCTCACACGATGTTCGAATTCGACTATTCTTTTTTGCTATGCCTCCAAAATTACGATACGGATCTAATGCCTCAATCAAAACCAAAATTGGAGCTCATTTGCTTAATTTGGTACCATTTATGCTTGAAGAAACGGCGTCGAAACATAAGAAAAACGAGCGTAACACAGCCCAAACCTATTCGAAACTCACCCGAGCCCCTCGGGACTCCCTACGAACATACCAAAAAGTCCCATAATATAATACGGACCTACTCGAGGCCTCAAATCATGTGTAACA